CACTTGCAACGCTCTGAAAACGGATCACCAATACCACCCGATGATTCTGAAATTGAAGATATCGACCTGAACTTTCACATCTCCCCATTTCAAGACATCATGACGAAAGAAATCAAAGTAAAATGCAACAGCCCGACCTTCGGTCTCCAACTCGACCAAGACAAATTAAACGACMRAGTCTTTCTCAAAGATGTCACAAAGAAATCAAGTGCTGCAACAATGTTCTCCAATTGGAAAGCRACGCGAAATAAARTTCGTGGTSCATACATCGTATCMATCAATAATCAACCGGTCTTTGACAAACTATCTGCTCTAAATGTCCTCGAATCCTTAGTGGCGAAAGGCACAACAGAAATCGAAATCAAATTTGCCCCTGTTGCAAAAGCATCAAGCGTTCGCAGATGGAAAGAAATTGACAAATATAATTTACATGCACCGACTGATAAATTCAATACAACGGCACAAATAAATTATGCCGCTCTTYGAGCGATCACCGCAATACAAACAGGTACCCACATTCCTCCCAATATCGTTTCTGATGAAATGATTCGACTGGTCATCAATGCCCTTACTTCGMAAACCACAACAAAAGAAGAAGAAGCCCTTGGTCACTTCACCCGTTGAAAACTTAAACAACTTGATAACTGGAAGGGGGTTGGGAAAGGTGTGTGTCGACGTTGCGTCAGTAGTAGAGTTCGTATTAAGGAGAGAGCACGCCTAAAAAATTATCACCATGGTGGTGATTAATTTTTATTGGAAGGGTGTCATCACCTGTGGGAGAGACTGTCCTAATAGTGATGTAAAGTGTGTGCTAGTAGAAAAGTGAGTCGATGCTCTTATCGAGGATCGRCGAACTATGAAATCTAGAATGGATCGCTGTGGGGATCGAGTGAGGTGTGAATCGAATGAGTCAAGTCACTCACGCAAGTGAATGAGATGAGTCACGTCGATCATATGAATCCTAGGGGCTTGCGTGAGTCATATATGTATGGTGTGTATGAATCGTAGATACGTATCGTATGTACGTGTTGTATGTATGAATCATACCCACGGTCTGATATCCTACAGACAACATTTAAAAAATGGCTCAAAAATGAAATGCCAAGAGGCTTGGCAAATTTGCAACACAATAGTCAAACTTTGACAAGGAAAAACTGGTTAGGTAGGGCATTCTTAGTCATATCTTAATGGGGAGAAAAAGTAGTAAGAAGTAACCAAACACATGGCCCTCAACAAGAAATTTCTTTCTTGCTTGTTGTTGTTTTCACAGCTGATATGAAAGGTTCCCTTTCCCCCAATGTCATTGTTCCTGATGATTTTCCAGGAGGACCTGTTGGATTGGTGAACAACGAGGATTGCCCTGGTTTAGGATGGACCATTTGTAAAGAGTATCAGGAACAGCACAAGGAGGGATTGGCTGGTGGGGAAGCATTTTATTACTTTGTCACCAAAACATTGTCTGCCATTACCCCAAGTCACACCAAATTTYGGGTACAGAAAGGAAGTGA